CATATGGCCCGCCGAACTTGAGTGAAATATTTTAACACTTCATCTCTTGGCACGCGGATACCCTTCTGCCTCTAACTTAGTCATTTTTTCCCCTAACTGACTCGCGCTATATTTAGTTCTGAATTGGATTTGTTCAGCAAGTCATGATGATATAATTCTTATTTAATAATGATGTCTGATGTCATCTGATTTTCAACTCAGCAAACAAGGTGTCGCTGACACGATGACTTACTTTCTAGTCTTTCTCGGCTCCGCGTCAATGGCGGAAATATTGTATGTTTGTTTATTTTATATTTCAATTACTTATCGATCTTGATCGTAACTATGTTGATAGGTATTTGTCTGTCTGTCTGTGAGACACACGCAATATCTCACGAAAGCGAGGTTAAATCGGCACCAAACTTTGCATGTGCATTCATCATATCTCGGACCAAAAGCCTATTTTGAAAGAATTATGTCGTATAAATAGCGAGTTATTAACTAATTAATAAGTTTTTTATTTTATTTTTTTTTATAATCAGCGAGTTATTAATTAATTAGGTAATTTTCTTTTCGTGAGATCGATAAGTCGGCGGTCTCCGATCGCCATCTCGTTGCTATATTTGTTTAATTTTGTCCGCTTCTAATTTTGGCCCCTGTCAATCAAATCTAAATAGTAGCTTCTTATCAATGAATAGCTGCTTTTACAGAGCCATGTTATGAGTGAATTAATTCCACAGGTATAATCCAGTCTACGTCAATACCTGGCAACGCCATAATTGAAAAACCAAAATAGACACGCGATCGATGTTTTTAAATTTCATTCATAAAATATTCAAAAGAATCGTGTCGATTTAGTCAATACAAGAGAGCGGCGGTCAAATATATGAACACGAAGATCAAAAACGATGTAGTACGGTTATGCAATCTAACCCAGTCTTACCGATACCAGCCGCTACGATGTCATAAAACGCGGAGAACAGTTGTCACGATGTCATAAAATTGTGTTCCTATAAATAAGTATCGTACCGCAGTCGACGAACCACCAGATATCAACTAACGCGAACGCGCAACCGCCACTAGGTGAAACTTCAACGACTGAAAATTTTAGAAGTCAGAGTAAAATGAATAATAAGAACAACAACAACAACCTATTAACAAAACGATCCAACCCGTGTTTAATAAAGCAGTTCACAGACGAAGCGATAGACACAAGAGTGGCCAATTACTTCACGGAGTGGGTCAGTCACAGATAATAGACTTGGTTACTGAGCCGGAGGCTCGAAACCTTAATATGAGAAACTGATGAATAAAAAACAGTTTATTTACAAAAGCTAGTTCGACAACTAGGCTGACGTTTATATAATAAAAAGAAGCACAATGTAACAATTGGGGTCATTATGACGTTATTATCATCGATATTTGCAACAGAAATGTGTTTCCATAAAACTAAATTTGCAATTTTAACAGACACGAGTGGGTTGGATAAAATACTTCAGTGGGCCGGATCCGGCCCGCGGCCGTAATTTCCCCGCCCTTGCGATAGAATATTCGGAGCTCCCGAAGTATGCGAACCAAGATGGCCGACATCGGAATGTAATATGTGTACTAGGTTAGGGTTAGGCCATAATTTTAGGTATAAATACTACGGGAGGCTCTTGGCTAGTTTTCGAACTGATAATAGGACTAAAATAAGGAAAATTGGAAAAAAATTATCGCCTAACCCTAACCTGTTACCCATGTTACGTTCCGATGTCCGCCATCTTGCTTCGCATACTTCGGGAACACCGAATATTCATAAAAGAGTTAGAAGTCTGCATTGCGGATCATTGATTAAATTACGCGGTCGGCCCAATTCAAATATTCAAACAATCGGGGGGATGAAATTCAAGCATGTAATATAATTAATTATTTGGACTTTGCGGTTAATTTTTATCCGACTTCAGCCACGTAATAAGCTTGTTATGGGACATTCAATTTGCTTAGTTGAAATGAACGTAGCATGTGTAATCGTTCGATATATGAACAAAAACCATTTGGCAGAAAATTGATATGTAATGTTGGATTTATAGAACTTTTATTGTATATCACTGCCATAATTGAAATTTATTGTAGGTCTTCTAGGAGATGATTGGCGGCCCACGATTGGTTGGAAATGAACGTATTGTCCTTTGATATATGAACATAAACCATTTGGCAAAAAAAATTATATGTAATGTTGGATTTATAAATAAGCTCCCACAGTTTGCCGACCACTGATATAAACCATACGACGGTAATTACAGGCCATTACGGCGAATACGAACCGTGATAGCGGCTCCATTTGTTAATGGACACCCACTAGGAAGCTAATACATAATTTATGATAAAAAAATCAATTTGAAGGCTTTAAAAATGCGCTTTGGGATCCTAAAAAGGTAGAGTTTTCATTATTTAACAGAAAATGATGCCAAATCAGCGTCACGATAGTTTCGCGATTTGGAACGCCGGCTTGAATAAAAATCCTAGATAATATAAGCAAAGGTTAAAATCATTAGCGGAAAAAAAACTGATTTTTTTTTTTTGAAAGGAGAGATTGTCTTTGTCAGGAATTTGAAAGTAAGACTTTGAGTAAATAGTTAGTTAGATTATTGGAATCAGTGGTTATGCATATTAATTTATGTGTTGTGTAAATGTTAAAGTAATCGGAGATGTAATAAAGACTGACCAGTGTGTTGTATTTTTCAGCTTGATAAAAAGTTGTCGTTAGCGATTTTGTGTTAAGACTTTTTTATGGTTTACCAATATAGAGAACTATAAGCGAGGGGAAAATGGGCAGCCGCACACGCGATGTGTTTATTTTTTTGTTTCAGGTAAATAAACAGTTAGCATATATGCCTGAGGAGGTCGGATTTTCTTCAGACGAAATGTTACAAAAATACATTTGTGTTAGTGTGCAGCAAGACTCTTATATTGAATCGTATAGCCATCTTTATTCTTGCCACACCATCCTTGCGTTACACGCATACGGATCCATTTCCACAAAGGTATAGAACAAGTATAAGTATAAGTTTATTTCGACTCCATAATCAGCAATAGACGATAAAAGAATAGATAAAAACAAAAGTAAAAGTAACTGATTATAGAATCGGGAAAGCGAACAAAACCTAGAGTAAGGTTTGAAACGTACAGATTTTAGATGGAAAGGTATTGATAAAAGAAGTAGTACGTTTTCGCTCACCCAAAAGTAAAAAAAAAACTAATTAAGGCACGCACGCTCACACACACACACACACAATCATCGAGACATGATACAGTCGGAAGCGGAAAAAGCGAGACTTAAAAGTAAGAAGAAAGGAAAACATACAAACAAATAAAAAAAATAAAAAAAAGATGAATTCAAACAAATAAAAAAAAATGAATAAAAGAAAAGAAAAAGAAAAAAAAAGAAAAGGCCCCAACTTATAGTTATGTATGTAACTGCATGAATTTTTGCCGAGACAGGAAGCGTATAGTAGAAAAGAAATGCGGCTGTATTTGATCATAACGCTGTATTAATCGCCTGAAAGACTGAAACTTTGCACAAAATGCGCTCTGGGATCTCAAAAAGGTTGAGTTTTCATTATTCAACATAGATTATGGATGCAGGGTATTGTAGTTTTAGTTGGATGAAAAGGGTTATCGATTATGAGATGAGATTTGATGGAAAGATTTTTTTAAGGTTTGTCAATGTATAGAACTGTAAGACAGTTACAATGTAGAAGGACAATTTGATAACGTAGGGGACTGCGACGTTGTCTTTATTTCAGTTAGAAGTCAGTGGTTCCCAAACGGTGGGGCGCGCCTCACAAGGGGGGTGTAGAAATTTTTTTAAGGGGTCGTGAATCTAATTGAAAATAAAAATATTTTTTAAATTTTATCTTTCCCGCTTTATTTTAGATATTATTTTTCATTATTTTGGGTATTTACTTTTCTTTATTTCGGATATTTACATTCCATCCACGTATTTTCAACGTGTTTTTTGAATGAAACATACTTTCGTCTTACAAACTATTATTTGTAGCTTATTGTTAGCTAGTTATTTTTGAGGCAGAGCGCAAGGCTTGACAAATTCTAGAAAGGACGCGGCTTAAAAGGAAGTTTGAGAGAACTACTGATAGATAATGTGTTAGTCTCGGTAATTTGCCTTTACTTACACTAATAAAACTCTCAATATAGGAGAAGTATGGTTAGATCAAAGGGCGGTCGTTGCTATACCGTGCATTAGTAGCTGTTCAAAATGTTTAATTTTTTGACAGAAAATAGGAATTGGAATAGAAATTCTTCAAAGTCAATTTTCTTAGACTTGCATTGTCTGTTTCCGTCGACTTGTCGAAATCGATTTTTTAACATTTGAATATTTCGTCTCAATTCGGACCTCCTGAAGTATGCGCACCAAGATGGCGCACAACCTGAACCCAAGGTGTGTACCAGGTTGGGGTTCAGGTTATGCGACATCTTGGCGCACATACTTCAGGAGCACCCGCAATTCTCATAGATATTGTTGGTCCCTGTCGACTTGTCTCAAAAAATAAAATAAAAATTGAAAATTCCTTTGCATCCATGTGTAAACCTCTGTCAGCTTGTCTCAACAGATTAGAAAATTCGAACATTTGTTTCGTCCCATATGTCATCTTGTCCATATAGATTTCAAAACATTTGAACATTTCGTCTCCATTTCTCATAGATACTGTTAGTCTCAGTCGACTACTCTAAGAAAAGACGAAAAAAACTTGGACATTTTTCGCATTGATATGTAAGTCTCTGGCGTTAGCTAGAATATTGAATATTAGAATATTAAATTGGGAATTTCGTCGCTCAAAATCAAATTTCGTCATGATTATTGCGCTGTAAAATCAAATACTTTTGCACCTTGGGTTTTTAGCGCTGGCAAGTGCATTTCTCTCTTGTTTATTATGTAAAGTACAAATAGAACACATGTATTTGAACATATCATCTATATATTTTCATTTCCATCGTAAATCTATGTCGACTTGTCTCGTTAGTTAGAATATTGGATAGGACATTTCGTCTTGTAAAAAGCGAATTTCGTCATGATTGCCGCAGCCGTGAGATCTAATGCATTTGTTCCCGGTGCATTTGCGGCTGTTCCTCTCATAAAAAACTTCAATTCTGAATGCGTTCATGAAAGAACTAAAAGCGGGAAAACTGCTGAATCCAAGATCGATGAAGATATAAAGGTTTGCATTTTAGATTATGATTATAAGAAATTATGAGACAAATTTTGTTCACTTAGACTGGCGGGCCATGTTAGTGTGACGTAAAAAGTTTAATTTCATAAACAACATTTACAGTGTTACAAAAGCAAAAGTGGAGAATAATAAACCTCGTGCCCAAACTGAATTTAATCTCAACAAATTCCTTGAGCTATTTTTCAACAAAAACATTAAAATTTGGGTTTAGTTTGGTTGTGGCAGCATCAGGAGGGCCAGATTGAATTACCCAACTGACAGGATCCGGCCCGCGGGCCGTGGTGTGCCCATGCCAGCTCTAGAGACACATTGTTTTAATTTGAATTTTTTTTCATCGTTTGTCAAATTTGCATCACCCTGTGTCGATTTATACGGGCGAGCAGGTGGTTCAATCACAACTATTTATTATTATTATTATGTTTAATGGTGCTTATAACTTGCTCACTTTTGTGCACCTCGACTATGATATCTCGCGTTGGGTGTTCAAATGATTCTACCCGTTATTAGCATTTATTCTATAACAAAAGAAATAAATCGGGATTTGTTAGCAAATCGATATTATTTACTCTATCTGTTTGAATTCTAAAAATTTTTGATTAGAGAAATTGTGACACTTTTCATTCAGGCTATTTTGGTTTCTCAAGGGCCCATTTTTCACCATAAATTTAGTTGTTTTATTCATCAAATTTCACTACCATATGCATTTTATCGATCCAATCGTCGAGTAAATGCTTTAGGTCAGTGATTCCAAGACCGCGGACAAATTACGGCCCGCCGAATTTGAGTGAAATAGTTTAACACTTTGAGTTTTTACTTTTTTTCGTTCTTGATTTTAGCAATCGTTACGATAATATCACAGTTTAAGCACGTGTATATTCATAACAATTCAATTAATCGATATCTTAACTAAACGTATCGGTACTGCTATCGGCCCCTTGTAGGCGCTACCATCTCCCTGCTCGCGAACATCTTTCCACCTATATGGTACTTCTATCGCATCGGTACCCTTGGCTGTTTATATATACTTTTACCCTAGTCTTCTAATTTTGACTGTAGCACATTTAGGTTGTCAGAAACTATGATTCGTTTCGTGTCAGGTTGTCGTTACTTTGAATACGTAGAACACCTTTGCTGTAAATTGGGGTGTGCAACTTGCGACCCGCAGGACAAATTCGGCCCACGAGGAAAAATTGTGCGGCCCGCGAAGAATTTTGCGGCCCAATTTTGAATCGTCTGCGACCGTCGAAACGAGTTTTCACTTTAGTTTAATCTGGTACGTGCGAGTAATTCCAATTTCCAATCCCGAAGTCTATACCTGAGTCTAATTATTATCTATGCCTATGACGTTACAATAGCTAGTTTGAGCGAAGCGAACAACGCATGGTATAAAATCAATAACCAAAATGCAACTACTAGAAAGCCTGTGTTAAATAAAAGTGCGGCCCGTTTCACCCAGGTATTTGTATCATGACACGAACCATTGATATATTGCCTTAGATCAGGGATCTAATCAAAAGTCGGACTACAGTCCGAATCCGGACCTTCCGAGTATTCGATTCGGACCGCACCTAATTCTTCATTTTGGATTATTGGCTCAACATTGGATATGTGAAGGCTTCTATTGAACGACTTTTACATTTTGAAATTTATTTTATAATTTTCTCATATTTGCACCTGACTATTTGAGAAAAGAAATGTAACGCATTAATAAAGTATGCGAATAACGTTATCTTGACTAGCGAACAAAATTATTAGCCGGCGAAAAAATGCGCGTTTGATTAAGGATGTCGGAATTTAATTTTTTAAAATACCGCACCCCAATATTTCAAAGTTTTGTATACGGATATTCGGTTAAAATAGTTGAAAAGCACTGCCCTATATACGTCACTGTGTATGCCCGCATCGTGGTTATGTACTCTGAAGCATGTGGCGGTCGAGTGCATTTGTAAAAGAAGCGTCGAAACTAAACTGCTATCAATAATTCAATGCCTATATTTACATACACACGTCAGGCGAACATTTACGACCGCACCATACACGAAGAGAAGTCTTACATTACTATTTCATCATACTCAAGCACAGACTGACCTAACAAAAACGCTCGATCAAGCATGACCTCGTTATGCATGATTAAACTAATTTCTGTCAAAAATAGACCGTGCGTTGATAGGTACAAGTTGGTATCCATATTATAAAGAAAAATATTTTGCTGAAATAGCGCGTGTTGTTGTTAAAAACATTTTTATGTAACGAGGGAATATTATAGATCGCTATGAATTGGATAAGATATATTTTTAGGAGTTTTTGTGTGTCAAGCTGCGTATAGTTTAACCGCAGAATTAATTGTGGGATAGGGTAGCCTTTCATATTTATACAAATGGGGAATCTTTTTTAATTTTAATATTAACTTATCAGATTAACTTGTATACGTTTACTCAACAATGTCGGGAGGTCAGGTCGAAGTCATCTAACGGCATAAATATCACGGAAAATGAATTTAGAGTGATTTCTGGAACGCCGAAGTGCTGCATCTGGGTGTGTGGGAATTATAGTATATTTCAGGGTGGTCCAAACCCGGGCCCGGGGGCCGCATCTGGCCCGCCGCTCCATTATCTGTGGCCCGCGGCGCTTTCGGAGAGTAATCAAAATATCGTATTTTAAATTGCTTCTCATAAAATAAATCAGAAAAATCGTTCGACATATTGTTATATTACTACTGTGACTGAATTGACTAGTATGATGAAGTTGAATGATGATTGATGGGCAGTCTAAATTGTTACCTGGATTTCATCGTTTTGATCGGGAATAAATGCTAACAATATAGGCATGATAGAAAACTAGAAATCGAATGCGGATTCAATTAGTCTAGGTTGGCAATGATAACTATGTGTTTACACAATAGAAGTGCTTGTTTTGTATTGCACTGTTTACCTATTCGTCTACTATTGTGGCCCGCAACTAATGCCAAAATAATTTTGTGGCCCACGGAGCCCACAACCTTGGACCACCCTGGTATATTTAAAGATGTGCCGATATAGTTTTAGTCATTACCGATACGCATTACCGATATACTGGTATTGTTTAATTGTGACCTGTATACAGAGTGTCCATAAATAAATGCGATTAATGAACTGTGAAGTGCTTCGTGCAACTAATGGTAGCATATATAAAAGGGTGGCGAATGAAGTAAAAATACTTAAACAATTACTGATTAAAAAACACAAACCTGGTTAAGATATATTGAGAACTAACTTCAAAACAAAATTGAAATTGTAAAGGATTTTATGAATACCATGCATATATTATATTCATGAGGAGACTGATATCTTTGTTGTATGATGAACACCTTAACTTTATGCTACGGCGCTCGAATGATTTCATCCGACGTTGTAACGGAAACAAATTGAAATTGATATCGGTATTCCGTAATTTTATCGGTACATCGGCATATCGATATTCTGTTATTATATCAGTAGGTATTTGTAATTATATCGGTACATCGGTATTCCGTTATTATATGGGTACATCGGTATGTCTTGATTATATCGGTACATCGGTATTCTGTGATAATATCGGTACATCAATATTCTGTGATAATATCGGTACATCAATATTCTGTGATAATATCGGTACATCGGTATTTTGTGATTACATCGGTATACTAGTTTTATATCTAGTTTTTGAAATTGGATAGATCAGTTAGACAATGTTAGCTGCCCGAGCAGCCGCGTATGCACCAGCGCCACAGTCGTCTGCCCCCCATAAAGCACCCCATTCAAGAAACAGAATGACAGTAAGGAACGGTCCAATGCAAGAAGATAACTTGAGCGAAGATGAGGAAGTGAGTCCCCGCCTTTAACGTGGTTGGTTTAAATATTTGTGCGCGCCTAGCGGTTGAAAGATTCGAATGTCGATTACATGTCTCGGGTTTAATTTTTATGCCAGCAACTCAATCAGGTTGTAATCAATGCGATCGAGGAGGTAGACAGAAATGTAAAAATCGGGGGTTATTAATTTCGAATTTTGATTAAAACAAACATTTTCTATGGGAGAAAAAACTTTTTCTTGCCCGCCTTATTTTGAATATTTACTTTTTTTCATTTTGGATATTTACGTTACATCGACGTTTTTTTCAACGTGTTTTTTGAATAAAACATACTTTCGCATTACTATCTGTTATTTGTAGCTTATTGTTAGCTAGTTATTCTTGAAGTGGGGCGCGAGACTTGACAAATTCTAAAAAAGAGGCGCTTGAAAAAGGGGGTTGTGAACCCCTGCTAGAGCGGGAGATTTAGTAAAGTCTGTAATGATATATTCACAACTATTGTATCGGTATCAACACTACCGCATTATGGTGTCAGGTTCCTTCCCTTGACGCTTTCTCCTCTTTCAGTTAATATGTTTTGTCGGTAGAAAAACAATCATGAATATTTAATGCAAATTCTGCCCCCTCGATTGAGTGATTGACCTCGTTTGTAAGGTATTTGTACCGGTTTTGAGAGACTTTGTTTATAAGATCCGTAGAAAGGGATGTCAACTAGGGTCGCGGTATTCAAATTTTGGTCGGCTTGTCAATGAAAAATTCAATACAAAGCTGTTCGACTGTAAATGTAGTAACTTTAACTCGACTAACGCTCAACTCGTATCCGGACTCCGACTCTTTACCCCTGATCATACGTATCATATAAGAATTTCGAATGATTATTTGACGTTTCCTAAGTCCTAAGGGCCTAGCATGCGTTTCAAGCTACGGTTAATCGCTAGGTATGATACTGATAAATTTATTTTTTACATTTCAAAAAGTAGAAGAGGACTGACTTTTATTTTTTTCAATATATATAATATATTTGGTTCGACATTGGCGCTGCGGAAGTATTCGTACCAAGATGGCGCACAACCTGAACAACCTCAACCTGGTACACATACTATGTTAAGGTTGTGCGCTATCTTGGTACGAATACTTCCGACTTTTTTTATTTTCATTTTCGTTCGACTTTTTCTAGGGTGTCTCAGCTCGATAACCAGTATTGATTTACTGTGTCTCTACACTGAAATGCAATTCATTATATTTTATTCGCGTATGCTTAGTGCGTATTTATTTTTATTGTGGTCGCCTATTCACCCAAAATATAAAAAATTGGATAAAAATGCTATATCGGAAATATTCCGGTTCTTCACAAAGTATAGTATCTTCTTGCATAACTTTAGATATCAGTGGGTGCTCGTATGGAACTTTGTTTGGAGCAAGGAGAAGGAGATAAAAATCGTGTCCGGAAAATTCGCCGCAAGAGCATTTTGCTGTAAAACAACTATTTGTGATGAAAACAGTTCGGTTTATAGGGTTAGAGTTAGCTCATGAATAACGAGTATTTTTTAAAAGAAAAGGTACTTCAAAAATCTAACTGTTTTTTATCAAAAATACTTGTTTTACAGCAAAATGCTCATGCGGCGATTTTTCCTATGCGGCGAAATTTTCTGCGGCGAAATTTTCTGCGGGGAATTTTTCTGGAAACGATAAGATTATCGATACTTTCTTTCAGGAACTTGTTGGGACCTACAACGAAGATCGTAATTGGAAGGGAATCGCCATCTCTTTGCTTGTGATCCTCGCTGTCTGTGGTATTGTCGTTATATCTGTGATACTGCTGACTCCAGGTGATTATTTGAGTCTCTTATCTTAGTCTGGTCTAATCTTGCAATTTGTTGAGTTCTCGTTTTATGAGTGCTATTGCTGACACCAGGTGATTAAGTTTCTTATCTAAATTACCCTGGTCTTATCTCGCCATTTATGGGTTCATCGTTTTATCAGTGATATTGCTGGCCCATGGTGATTATTTAAGTTTCTTATCTTATCCTGACTTAGCCCTATCTCGCTATTTGTGAAATCGTTGTCTTATCAGTGATATTGCTGGCCCATGGCGATTATTTGAGTTTTTATCTTACTTGACTCGGTCTTATCTCGCTTTTTGTGTAATTGTCGTTTTATCGGTGATACTTCTGACTCCAAATGAATATTTGAGTTTTAATCATATCTTGACTCGGTCTTATATTGCTATTTGTGTAATTGTCGTCTTATTAGTGATACTGCTGACTCCAGGTGATTATTTGAGTTTCTTATCTTAGTCTGGTTCCACAGAGATACCAAAAGCTATTGTAACTATAAAAATTATAGCGGTGAATTACGATTACAGTTTTTTGTATAGTGACGTAATACGACGTTTTTGCCCCGAACAAGGCTAGATGAAAGCAGCCTCTGATAACCTAACAAATCTTTCAGCAGAAATTTTTTATTTTGTCATTTTCTCTCACTCTTCTTTATGGTTTTGAAACATCAAATATAGCACTTATAGACATCAGCTGGGCTGCATGTTACACGTTACCTATCTGCTGCACTGTCTGACGTAAAAAAAACAAGAACCGATAATTGTGACGCCATTCTAGGACGGGTTCGCACTAATCCTTAGTTAATTTACATTATCAGAATACAGCTACCCAGTGGTCCCACAAGTGTCTTTGAAGGACATTGCTGAGCAGAGATGGAAAGTCAGTGAAACTACTTGGCAGGGTTCGAAGCTGGTGTTCACGGACTTCGATGGGAATGTCGTAAGAAAATCACAAGATCAAAAACGGGAAATAGTATTTACTAGTGAATTCATAGTAAGTGGTTTTTAGAATTATTTGATCAAAGCAAAGGCAGGCGCTTTGTGAGTTGTCGCGCGAATGATCATTTATTCCAGAATGTCACTGGGATTCCAAACCGCGATACGTTGATCACCAGACCAGAGGCATAACCATTGATTGACTCACAATGAAGAAAAGAAGACTAAACTCTGAGCAAAATCGCGCGAATGCCAAGAAGAACTGACACAATATTAAAATATGACTAGTGTATTGCAAAGCCGTAGCCAGCCCATTTTTTTTGTTGGGGGATGGGAGGGGGAGGGGGCAAATTTTTTCTGTATAATGACCTAACACGGCACTTACTCGTGTCTTTCGTTCCGAGAAAAACCAGATAAAGTAGCCATTGATATCTAAAAATATTCTACTCAACTGACGTACTAAGCTGTCAAAGTTAGCAAAGGCATATGAGCGCGCATCTCCATTTATCTCGTTTGGTTCATTTGGTGAAACGGGTATTGATAGCAAGTCACAAAACGTCCGGTTGCACTTAAGTAAGTGTCGATTTATGCACAAGCATGTGAAGTCAATATGATTAAAAAAACTGTTGGACTGCTTTATTATTGTTGTTCATCATGTTGTTAGAAAACACACGTTTTTTCGGCACGTTCACTACCAATCGCTTTGAAATGATCGGCAAATGAAGGCGACAGTTTTCTATAAAAGAACTTCACTTTAATGATATTTCGTATTTTTTTACACTCTGCTCAGTGCACCTTTTTCCTAATTTTTGACGATTTTTTCACAGTTCGAGGTCGATACAATGTGTTACTTGCAATCTTATTTCGTTGAACTAAGATATTAAAAAGATGAGTCAAAGATTGGAGTGTCTTAAATAACTTTTTGTCAGATATTCCCTGCGGTTAAAAATTGTTTAATTTTGAATAAGGCTAAATAATTCTCATAGATTCTTTGCTAAAGTACCTAAAACATGATAGCACTTTTCCCTTTTTATTAAACTAAATGATTCATATTACAGACAAGAAGCGCTATAGATGACTACAAGATCGCAAACAACGGCAGATATGCCTTGCTGATCTACAACAAAGTCCCGATCTATACCTACTCTTGCAACGCATCTTACTATATCTATGACATTGAAAACGGGTGGGTTGGGATTTACTCATATTTAGCCCGGAGGAGAGAAATGTCGATGAGACAGCTTGATCATATGGCAAACCACGGCTTCTCGTCCGGATACCAGTCCATGTCGAGTACAGAATTAGTTTATTTTCGGAAGCATTGACTTAGTGGCGGAGGAAGCCGTAAACGATCAGTGGTTATGTGAACCACTCTCCGGCGGGGAGGAAATATCAACCTACACTCTAAACAAGGTTCCTTACAAGCACATTGAAATGAACGTTAAAATATACGCAGAGCAGGTTTAGATATCGTTCCATGTAGCACGGGACTTATAACGAGATAAGATATTTAAATAAGTTTGTGCATAGCGGCTGGCACAAAACAAGTTAATCTTGTCTGGTGAACAACCGTAAGGAATGGAAGTACCCAATGCGGGAGTTTTGTACCCTGAAAATCTGCAACTACCTGATTAAACGTTTCCTCATCTGGATCAAGCTTACCAAATAAGAGATCGTTATCATTAAATAACATTTAGTTGCAATTTTAATGACATCACGTTGACCACATTTTTTATTTTATTTCCGTGTCCTTATGTTTGAAAATTGCTCGTTTTTTGTTTTATGCTTTCCCCATATTCAAGACTAATCTCTTATTATGTTACAAAAAAACTGATATCGCCTAGTGTTTAATACTGTAATTCACCTACATAACCCAAGGATATGTGCCATATGCCCGAAACAGGAATATTGTCTTACAAGTTTCAATAAACCTAAGTTCATTGACGCACAGACTAAAGAGCTGGTAGCAACTTTTGGACACAAATTTTGAAAACTTCGGGTGCAAACTTTTTGTTTTCTGCATTAGTTCTGCATTTGTTATTAAACCATACACGAGCAATTAAGTATTTCAATCATTTTTATGTGTAATCATCCCAGAAACAGAAATCGGATCATTCATGACAAGACTGAGACAATATTCCAATCCATGGATTTCTCTCCCGATGGGAATACAATCATTTACTCACTAAATGGGGATTTATACACAAGGCCGTGTGAAGGAGGATCGAGTAAGAAAATTACGAATGGCGGAATGCTTGGAATTTACCAAAATGGAATGGCTGACTATATTTATGAAGGTAGGTAGACTGTGCAACAAGAAACAGATTTGCGTAGTTGGCTAAAATTTTCGAATCTCGCGTACGAAGCTCCCGCCAAAAAATTAAAAAAAAAACACACAAGCCCGCCACCGCTCAAAATATATAAAATAATAACGGATGTTTCCCCGACCCTTGACTCGAGAAAAATTCTTCCTACACTTTACCATTGCAAAGTTCCTAATACTTTTTTGACAGTATTATGGAGAGTTGGCGCTTAGAAACTGCTGATTGGTCATTGTTACGGATATAAATAAGGAAATCGTTGCCCGGGGAAACATCCATTATGCAGTTAGGGTTAGGAATGCAGATTGCACTGGAAATTCAAATTTTCAAATCATTACTAACCCAAATTCCAACTGGATAATTACCAATTTGGTATTTTACAACGCGGGGGCAAGAGACTTTAATATATCATTCGCGATGACTACTTTGAATTAAAGTAAACTTTGACTATAATGTATTTGTTACTTTGCTTTCATTCGTTGAATTTTTGGTACTCCCGAAGTATGTGAACCCAGATGACGGACACCGGAACGTAGTATGTGTACCAGATCGGGTTATAATTCCAGGTACAAATACTACGAGAGTCACTTGGCTAGTCACTGAACTCGTAATAGAACTGAAAGGAGTAAAATTGGAATAAAATTATGGCTTAACTCTAACCTGGTACACATACTACTTTACGGTGACCGCCATCTTGGTTCACATACTCCGGGACTACCAAATTGTTATTATATAACATGGCGCAAAAAATAAGCGGTGTAAACCCGTTTAAAGCATAAATGGGTATCTTTGTAAAAGAGCAAGTGGGCATGCTTATGAAGCGCCTTTGAATACATATCATGAAAGTTTGAGGACCATTGATAGGTATTTATAACCTTACCTCAATAAAATCAAGGCCGGTGTTTCCAAAAATTCCATTCCTGATGTTTTTAGAAGAAATACTGAAATCGTCAACAGCCTACTGGTTCTCCCCGAGTGGAAAGTTCCTCGCATATGCATCGTTTGACGACAGAAAAGTGGATGATAGTTACGTCACAATGTATACTGATGATAGTGTTAATGACATCATAACCTATAAAAAGCTGGTGAAATACAAATATCCAAAGGTGAGATGTCAGTTGCGATTGAAAAGCATTGCTCAAATATTTGTACATGGGAGTTAAATGATGCCATAATGTTGGCAAATATTACAGCCAAATGTTATGTGATTTAACCTCGGCCACAAAAAAGTTCACAAAAATGAATTTGTGCTAGTGTGAATCAAGACTTTTGAATCGCTCAGTGTAGTCATTTTTATTCCTCATAAATCATTCTTGTTTTTATGCATACGGGTCCAGTGGTAAGCATGGAAGATGGTTACGGAGTAACTCTTGTATGAATATAGAATACATATGTATCAGTGTGCAGCAAGACTCTTGAATCATTTAGAATAGTTATCTTTTTCCAGCTACAGCATCCTTGCATTAAAAGCATCTATAGGCCCATTGCTGCAGTTCTTTGGGGGCCACAGGCAAAGACCGTTGATTTTTATGAACGCTCTCGTGGTATGTGTACCAAGATGTTGCACAACCTGAACCCTAACCAGGTACACATACTATGTTCAGGTTGTGCGCCATCTTGGTGCACATACTTCTGGAGCTCCCATTTTTTAGCTTCGTTTGGCAAATTTCGTTTTTACCTGATCGAATATGTTAAAAGCAAAACTAGACTAGAAGGGTGATTGAGGCCACGGCTCATGAAAGAGAACCACTGACATACAGGAGGTAAACTTAATATTATTCTAAATTTCAGGCTGGACGTCCCAACCCGATTGTGAACGTACACGTCATTGACCTGACGACGATGAACGAAATAACATTTGAGAAGCCGACACTGCACAAGTTAGTAGAGTATTTTATTTCAAGTTTGTGGTAATTTCGGTAAATTTTGCTTCAAACAAATCCTTATATAGCATTTATCAGTATGTAAAAAGCTACGAATTTTGAAGAATCGGACGGTTTGCGCTCCGGTATTGCCACCTGCTGATAAGTTGAATAAAAGTTTATTATTAAAGTAAATGACTTAAAGAGACAAAGCAAAGCGTACGCTTAAAACATCATCAAGGACAGACTTCTCTTTGTACAGTTGGATGAACAGTATTTCTACTGGCGACCAGTGCAGCATGCAATGAAATTATGACATGTCAGTAACAATTACTGTAAACAAAAACATATGATTTGTGAAAAACTATCGAACTATCAACAATCAATTTGGTAGGGTGCGCATTTCTGTTTCAAACGTGTTTTATTGTATTATCTTGTATATTTTCAGCCAAAGATTAAACACTTTTCATTCGCTAACCTGGTTGAGCGATGACGAACTTTTAATCACATGGTCAAATAGAACAATGACTGCTAGTGTGACGCAACAATGTTTTTCTACAAAATTGACGACATGTACAATGATTCTTCAGCAAACGACCCCAGGTGGAAATAGACCGAATACGAAATCAGGATGGCTGACCAATTTGGTAAAAATCCATTTAGGTTAATTTAATAAAGTTCGTCCAACTAAACCAAACGACAGCCCATGCCGTAACACTCTCATCAATTATTTATTAGGAAAAATTGAACTAAAATTCAACAATCTACAAGCCCAGAATATAAAATATAAAATGCCATGATAATTATAAATTTCCAGACATTCCATTTTTTATCACTGTAAATTTGAAAAGAATTAGTCAAGTAATCGACATGAAAAGTAAAAATAAGCAAATACAATTTTTGTCATAACCACCAGGGCCGTAGCGAGGAATTTTCGAAGGAGGGGATTTCAAATTAACAAGTTAGACCGTGACCGTTAACGTGAATTTTTCAAACGTCTTGAAGTTCTAAAGCGTTACAAGCAGCGAAAAATTTCTATGTATGACACAGAAAATTCTCAATTTCGCAAAATCAAACTCTCAATTCATATGTATGTATATAAGAAAGTTTTCTCAAGCTAGCGCGTAGTCTAGCGTGACCGCACGAATGACAAGAGAAATTGAAACAAAATATCGTCAGTAAAACTGACTGAAATATGGTGATTTCTTTGTCTCAGAATCATCCAGTCCTTCCATCCAACGACCCCGCAGTATTCTTCTCCATTTTACCGAGTGAACACGGAGGTATGGGAGAGTTCAATCATCTTGCTATAATCAATAAAACAAAGGTAAGTAGCCTATGATTGCGCCAACTTAGTCCTATTGTGTCTCATACAAGGTTGGATAATACCTAGCACAATGCTAGGCGCAGAACTGATTTTACTTTTCCCGTGTCAAGAAAACTACCTGTTTTTTCTAATTTCATTGTTAGCGAAGGGTATTTCACTTTATTGATCTTGAATGGTGCTGACATAATGTCCTTGCATGACTGCTGAAATACCTCCGGAATGGGGTCACAAGAGATTGGGAACCATCAATTTATTGGATCTCTAATTAACACTCGCACCAAGTGTATAAATTTTGTAGTGATACAAAGTATGTAACAAATATTAATAATAATACCACCAAGTAACTCTCAACCTCTAATTACAGAAACCGTTTGTGACGAAATTCTTGACAGACGGGAATTGGGAAGTAACGAAATTACTACATTATGACGCAAATGAAGAGTTTGTTTATTACATCAGCAACGAACAACAATCCGGATCTCGTCACGTTTATTACGTAACAATAACTGGAATAAGAAAATGTTTGTCATGCTCAAAAAATATCAGTTCGTTCGGATCTGCTATTTTTGATGACCCTTTACGTCGACGTGGCGGGAATTTGACTTGTGGCGCGAAAGTGAATTGTCGTTATTATGACGCAACAATCGCGCCTCAATCTGATTGGATGATACTAAAATGCTTAGGTAAGCATATCTTATGGATCTTTGCTCTCCGTAAGTAATTAATCACTACTCACACAAATATATTTGGATGAAAGCTTAACGTGTAATAATTTTCCTATTTTGTTGATAGAAGTTAACACAAGGTTTTTGAAAAAACACGGACCAACGCAATTTTGAAATCGCTGTTTACCATAAAATGTAATATTGAAATCGCTGTTTACCATAAAATGTAATATTAGGTTAACGGCAGTCTTGGGTGGAAGCCCTCAATCCCCAAATCAACTCGATTCTCCCGCCCAGTCCGAAATTGAGTCAATAACTAAGTTAGGTCTCATAGCAATTTTTCAGCAGTTTATTTTATCACATGCCGAAAATACACATTGTACAAAGATAATTATGAAGAATAAAAATATGCATTTCAGTGTGAAATAAGACGCGATGAACCAGTAATGGTTATCGAAAAGCGTCTACGAGGAAGTCTAACTATGCCAAAGCCAGACTTTAAAACAGTCAGTTGTTGGCCAGTCCGGGTAGTCCATATCATTTAGATTACTAGACTCACTTTGAGTCTTAGATGAACGGTAACTCGAGTCAAGTCAATCTTTCGATGTCCTCCCCCGCCAACTCCGGTTAACCGAATCTGTATTTACAAAATTCCACTTTTTCCAGGTCCTTGCCTACCATACAGTGTGACGCTGCGCCTTGAAGCGCGAACGCGTAATAATATTGGGGCTCCTTTATCAGCAAAGAACAACAAGCTACAGATCCTACAAAGGCCGGAATCTTCTCTTTTTAACATGTTGCTTCCCGTTGCAAGATACGAAACAATATGGAGAGACTCTTCGCGTAAGTTTTATATTGGATCAGTGGTTCAAAAATTCAAAAATTAGAAAAGGGGGAATTTATATCGAAAAAGGTTGGAAACCACTGTCTTAGTCGCTTGAGCATTGAAGTACGTCAATAGTTACAAACATTCTATCAATGCACTCCCTGATCAATGTATTCCTCCACATTCCGGCTAAAAGTTTTGTTTATTTGGTATTTAGTATTGTTAATATAAGTATTTAAGTCGATGACGTCATCAGTATGGCGTCACAAAACTTAGTTATTCAGAATTAAAATCTAAATAAGCATGATCGTTTGGGTGACATTCAGGCTGGTATCACCCTATTTGATTTTTTGGCAACCAATTTCTTTGTTTTATTACGCAAAATTGCAATACAGCATAACAGCAAAGATAGGAGGAATCTTTCCGGTTTCGGCGTTTCCCATCCAATGTATACATTCTATTTGGGGCGGTGACGGGCATGAGATTTGGATCCGAAATTTTAACCCGTGATGAAAAGATAGTCTAGTCCTGAAATGAGCAAACTACGGCCCGCGGGCCAAATCTGCTTCATTGGGTAATTCAATCTGGCCCGCCTGATGCTGCCACAACCAACATTAAACCGACTTTTGATGTATTAGCTGTCAAATAGCTCAAGAAATTTGTTGAGATAGTTTTGGCACAAGACTTATTGTTCTCCATTGTTCCTTTGGTAACACTGTAAATAAAATTGTGTTCATACAATGTAACTTTTAACGTCACGCTTACATGACCCACCAATCTACGTGAGAAAAATCTTGGCCCCTGATCCAAATACCTTAACCATCCCTGGTATAGTCCAACACTCTAACTGAAGGGCGCAACGTCCACAAAGCTTTACATCTATCCTAGCCCTTACACTCACTTACATTACCTTGTTGTCTATTTATAGCGGTAAGATTCAAGCTTTTGCTTCCATCAAGCATACATGTCGGGAAGAGGCCAGTTGTATTTTTTAAGTAAGTGTTTTCGAATTTTTTGTTCAAATCGTAAACCAAGAATTTAAATTTAAACAGTTATGCTTAACCTGCGCACAATACCACAGTATGTATTCATGATACTTATAGTTTTGATTTTACACGTTTGCTCCAAAAAAGGCTGTTAACATGGTTCCCCTGTTTATTATACCAGTGGTAGGCTACTCCAAATCCCATTATGCTCGAATAATTTATTCTCAAGATAATGAAAACACCCTGTGAAATAACCTTATCAAGCAATGAAAATAGAAAAAATGGGGTTTTCTTCACAAGGGATAAGTAAAATCAGTTTTGTGCCTAGCATTGTGGCCCACATCCCATTACTCTATGGCCCCCTTAGTGGGTGACGGGCCCACTGTTTTAAATGCGTTCCTATCAAAGTCGCCATTCACTGGCGAAACTAATTTAGCTAGGTTCAATCTAAAAACTGAGCAATCGCATTATTTTACTGTAATTTAGCGAAGGTTTTCCTTTTCAATACTCTTAGGTTATTTTAAGACAATTCTAAGGTCAAAAGACTCCAGTTTGAAATATAGATCATATTCAAATTTTAAACTCGTTTTATTGTTTGGTTCAAATTAACTCAGTATCTAAATCGAGTGAACATAGATACAGTAGATTGGAATAATATGGAAATTTGAAATTTAATACTAAACAAATGAGCGATATAAATTACTAAGTGTTAAGAAAAATAATAAATACAAGAGTATTGACACGTTGAGAACTAAGTAATAAAAACAGCTTTGAATTGGAGAGTAGTACCACGTACATATTTATTTTAAATTCGCCACGACAAACGACAAAACGACAACGAAAAACGACAAAATAAAATTTGAGAATTTCTGCTTTAGTCGAACAATGCCTCTCATCCGGTTGCTAATGTCACAGTTTATTTTTATTTCTGTGTTGAATTAAGACTCAAAATCCTGGATTGGTTTTTATTGATACGGCAGCGCCATTCTCGAGAAAAAAAAACAGCGAACGCAACTGAAAAGCAGCCGACGTCTAGTCTTTCCCGACAAAAATAATACCGAAATTTCATTTTTTCTCATGTCTTGTGGTTGGTCGGAGGCTCCTAATGTCGCACAATAGCCAAACCCGACCAGAACTGCCTAAATTAGGATCCTGCAAAAAAGGTATACGGAGGAGTACATATGTAACCTAAATCGCCAAACTTACATATACAGCACAAAACACCAATCATACATATGTGTTTACATATGCAGCCCAAACACCAGTATAAAAAGATATTAACACAACACAAACGCAGATATTAAAATGACACAAGTCCAGGTTGGGTATGACACTCAGGTTTTATAGGGACATTATGTTTCAGCATAAGTGGGCACAATTTAACGAGACTTGCCGTCTTATTGACTCTCTATAACCCCCTCACGGGATATTTATGAAAATTTTTATCAATCTTTCAGGAGCGACGTAGGATCACAGACAGTCAACTTCAAGTTTGATGTCGGACTGGCCGAGTATATTGTAACAAATATCGGGGCTGTTGGTGTATTTGTTGATGGACACGGTGAGTCTGGATATGTGTTTTTGGTTGTATATGTATGTTTGATGTTTGCGCTGTATATGTAAGTTTGGCGTTGTAGGGTTTATATGAATGCTTGGGGTTTGCGCTGTATATGTAAGTTTGGCAATGTAGGTTGCATATGTATGATTGGTGTTTTGGAATGTATATGTAACTTTGGCGCTGTGGGTTACATATGTATGATTGATGATTGAGACTGTATATGTAAGTTTGGCGCTGTAGGTTGCATATGTACGATTGGTGTTCTGAGCTGTATATGTAACGTTGGCGCTGTGGGTTACATATGTATGGTTGGTGTTTTGGGTTGTATATGTATGTTCTGTGTTTCAGGTTTGATATGTATCATCAGTGTTTTGGGTTTATATGTAGGCTCGATGTTTCGGGTTTTATACGTATGCTTGAAGTTTCGAGTTGTATATGTTCACTTAGTGTTAGGGGTTGGATATGTATTCTGGTTGTTTGGAGCTTTATATGTAAGTTTGTTGTTTTAGGTTGAATATGTATGCTTGTTATTTGGGCTGTATATGTGAGTTTGGTGTTGTAGTTTGTATATGTACGCTTGGTGTTTGGGCTGTATATGTAAGTTCAGTGTTTATATATGAATATGTATGCTTGTCAATTTTGGCTGTGTATGTATGCTCGGTGTTTGAGCTGAATATGTATATTAATGTTTGGGATGTATATGTAAATTTTGCGCTGTAGGTTGCATATGTATGATTTGTGTTTTAACTGTATATATATGCTCGGTTTTGATATGTGTATAGGAATACTTGTCTACGAATACGTGTCTCTGGTTTTATAAGTATGCTTGATGTTCAGGGTTGTATATGTATGTTTGGTGTTTAGTGTCGAACTCATAGTAGGGAGTCGGATCTGGAATTACATTTCAAATCGCCCTAAGTTGTGAGTTTAGTCTCCGAATTCACACCTTTACATAAATGGATAACGTTTTCGAAAATACCCCTCTTCACATTGTTGATAACACGTACTCCTGCAAAATTATTAGATGCTGCTTGCGGGATTTCAAGTCGCGATAATTGATGTCAGTCGAGAGTTAGTAATACACAGTATCAAAGTACCTTGTAGCCCTTCATGCAACCGAAAGTACTTAAATATAAACTTTTCCAACGTTGTGCGAGCCCACCAAAATATTACCTCTTCTGAAATGTATATGTTCAGCTGAGCATGGGCCGGGACCTATGTTGATGCGTGATACTTTAGGCCTAAATTATCGCAATACTGTGTTGGGAACACACTAAACCAGCATTGATTTCATTATGTCCAGGTTGAAACGTCCAGAATTTTTACTTTTACAGGTTCAGGGGGAAGTGGAAATCAAATCTTACAATCTATATCCGGGAGACCAGGCGTTCTAGAGATCAAAGATATGAAAGCTGTGCTGGAGTAAGTAACTGATAAGATAAATATAAGTTTATTTCGACTCCATTATCAGCAATAATAAAATGATTGAAAAAACAAATAAATGCAAAAAGACTATAAAATTAGGAAAGCAAACAAAGCCCTAGATAAGGTTCAAAACGTACAGACGCTGTCACTGTTACGTGGCAACGATTTTAATTTCTTTTTACCCGGTGACGCCTACTCTATTCGTTACACTCTGTGTAAGGGCCGTACCCAGGGTGCGGTGTACCCAGAGGGGGCGGTGGGTCGGAACCCCCCCATTGAAATGTAAAAAAGAGCAATTTTCTGTATTATACATAGCAATTTTTGTAGCTCAAAACGCTTTTTAACTCTTCAAAATTCTTGACAACCCACAAAAATCCACCCCGCTTGAAAATTTCCGGCTACGCCCCTGCTTTGGGTTAAGCTCAAAACATAAAGATTGATTCTCAGATCTTCAACTATTCAACTAATATGCCATGCCATACAATACCCTTATATAATTAAACTCAGTCCACCTAATTGAGAAAATTTCACAATTTTCATCTCTTATAGATACCTCGCCGGAAGAGACGATGTTAATGTCCACAATGCAAGTGTGGTCGGAGATACTGGATACGGAGGCTTCCTTGCGACTCTTGCTCTCACATATCCGGAGTTTAGATGTGCAGTTGCCAGAGATCCTGTGACTGATTGGAAGTTGTACAGTTAGTGTCACTTGTTATCTTGCTAATAAAAAGTTGTTGGTAATCTATAACATTTATTTTTAATCTTTCATTATAAGTATCTTTAAGTCTTACGCGAATCCGACCCGAGTTAAAGGGTTTGAATTCCAAACGTTTCATGGTGATATTCAAATCTTCCTGCCTAAAACCAGAGAAAAACAAATTGACTACGCATTCTTGACAGACACTGAAATAATTTCGCATACACCAAAGATTTTGTTCAAATTTTTTTTGCAATTCGGAGTTGGCATCTCAAAGTCCCTTCGTCGTTTCGCAGATTTTTTTCTTTTTTCGGTGCTTCAGAAGTATGCGCACCAAGATGTCGTACAATTCTAACCGGCACACACACATCATATTCAGGTTGTGCGCCATCTTGGTGCGCATACTTCTGGAGGTCCCTTTTTTCTTTATACTTCAAACGCCATCAACCACGCTAAAATTCGAAAGATCTCAAGGTTCGACTGCCGACTCTTTATTCCTAATCAAACAGCGGCACAACAGACTTGGATAATCACGCGAGCAGATACGCTCGTGTCTTCGGTACTCACGTTGTGTGTGTACCAGGTTAGTCTCGGGCCCAAATTTTATTCCGATTTTCCCTATTTTAGTTCTATTAGTTCGGGGACTGTCTGTGTTAGCCTAGTGTATATACCCCCTGCCCTATATAGGTTTCAGTCCCTTAACACAACTTGATAGGCGAACAAAATTAGTTATCTCCATATTGGTACACACACTCCTGGAGCGCCGTGCCTTCTTCGTGCCTTGGTTCGATGGGACCAATCGAAGTATTAATAGGACTCAAATCAAAATAACTACGATAAAAACAATTGAGAAAACACACACAAGAAAATAAATCTAATCGCAGTCGGACCTGGTGTCGTTTTTAGAACGATGTAGCCAGAAACGAGTAATAGAGCCCTAGCATATACAAATCCAGAACATTGCTACACGAAAATAAAACGTTCATGGTTTTAATTTGCAAGTACTATCTAATTCTATCATGTAAAACTGTTATTAATATGCTCTTCTGGTCATTTTACCCGCATTCTAAGATGAGATTATTTAATATAATGTTCTGATCCAAAGGTGTAATTCGTTGCTTGTTTTTTGCTTTGGTTTCGGTAGAGACAGAACATCATATTTAGGGATTGATCATTGAACTGGACAGGCTCCAGTCAGGTAAAATTTTCTCATTAATTGAAACAAATATGTTAGCTGAGTGCAGGACCGTATCCAGAACTTTTGAACTGTGTTTGTTTCGGTGACTGTTGTCAAGAGCCTTTGATCGGGAGGATGGCGAGACGAAGTATCAAATCGCATTTCATTTAGCGTATATCTACCTAAAAAAGCGCGTCCCCGATATATAAACAATTGGGAAAACACACACTAATAATAAAATCTAATCGCCGTCGGACCTGGTGTCGTTTTTAGAACGATGGAGCCAGAAACGAGTATTAGAGCCCTAACATATACAGATCCAGAACATTGCTACACGAAAATAAAAGGTTCATGGTAAAATAGGAAAATTTATTTTCAGATTCGTTCGGTTCTGAGCGCTTACTTGGTACTCCAGGAGAAAATCCTTTGCTTTATCAGAAAAATAACATGATTCATCAAATTGAAGGGATTGCTGACTCACGATTAAGGATTTATCAAGGATTGCAAGACAGTAAGTTTGTTTGTTGATGGTATTGATTTCTCTGATATAGTCTCTGTCAAGCCTAAATTCAGACATACTGAAGTACTGTAATTTTCGGTAAATTTTCAAAATTTTTTGGACTCTGATTCATCAGAATGAGATATGTTGGGTTAACGGTTTGACTAACTCAGGCCAGTCTGTTTTTCATTGAGCGTTCATAGTTTTGTTTTTCTTTAAATAACATTTTCGGCCCAGCTAGCCCTGATATGAGCAATCTACGGCCCACGGACAAAATCCAGCTCGTTGGGTATTTCTATCTGGCCCGCCACAACCAAACTGAAACCAAATTTCGATGTTTTAGGTAAAAATAGCTCAAAGAATTTGTTGAGATTGCGATTAAATTTAGTTTTGGCACGAGGCTTACTGTTTTCCACTTTTTCATTGTAACACTGTTCATAAAATGTAACTTTTTACATCAAACTGACATGGCCCGCCAGTCTAGTCGAACAAATCTTTTCACTCTGGTCCAAAAACTTTGCCCACCCCTGCGTTAGAGAGATATTTAAGGTTATGAGGCTGCTTGATATAACGATCAGTACTGATCCGGAAAAAGTAGAGCGGTTTCTTGACCACAAGCTCGTCCGGAAAGCAGATCTAAAAAATAAATATATTAACAAATAAACCCAACAATCTAAAGATCGCGATAGAAAATTTGCAAGCGACCATCAGTGCGCTAAGAGCCCTAGATCCCAGTGAACAGACGTTGACTTAAAAAATCAGGTTCATCACTGTCAACACATAACGCATACTTTTCAGGTGTCAACGTGCATGCATAACATTACAAATTATTAGGGACATACTCAGACCACAATTTCAGTTTTCTTCATTTCATTTAAAACATATTTATCTCGTTTACCACAGAAAAAGTGAACATGCAACACTCCATACTTCTTGAGCAAGCAGCCATGTTGAGTGATCTACCACTAGAGGCGGTAAAAGTACAATATTACTCCTCCCCTTCTGGTAAAAACTCAAAAGAATCGATGAAAATTGAATCAAACATTCACAAATCAATCAGTTTATTTTTGAAGAATTGCCTGTTTCGAAATTCCGAAGAAGGGAAACGAAAACTTGATTTGTTGAAAAGTAATTATGGAATACCTACTTGAATGACGTCACTTTGAATGACGTAACCGGATGATATCACTGTTGGTATGACAACATCAACTTCAGCAAATACTTTCAATTTAATGCGTCACTCTGAGTGACATCACTGTTGTTATGACAACATTAAACTCAGTAAATAAAAATGTTGAAATACTGACAATTTATTTCGTCACTCTGAGTGACATCATCGGATGACATCATTGTTCGTACAAAATCACCAGCCAAACATCAAAATCATGTTCGCTTCAAGCTTGTTTTCTGAAACTAAGAAAGAGGATTTGCTTTCCTTCGTTTATTTAGGTTTTTGAAATAAATACCTTTTTGCTTTATGCAATATAAAAGTAATTTTAAAAACACATATTAATATGTTTATATTCCTTCAGAATATAAACATTATACTATACAGCAGTGGCTGACGGCTTCCTCCACCACCAAGTCCATGCTTCCGAAAACAAACAATACAGTAAATCTAATCCCATACCCGACTTGGAATGGTAACCGGACGAGAGGCCGTGGTTCGCCATATGGATAAGCCGTCCTATCGGCTTTCCTCTCCCCCGGGATAAATATGTAAATCCTATCCTATCCTATCCAGTGGTTCCCAACTGTGATCCCCTTCTGGAGATTTTTAGCAATATTTGCCGCCCTGTGTATCATCCCAGTGGTATTTATAGTGTTATTTTAATTTCCAAGTACTATCTAATTCTATCATGTAAAACTGTTATTAGTATGCTCTTCTGGTCATTTTACCAGCATTCTAAGATGAGATTATTTAATATAATGTTCTGATCCAAAGGTGTAATTCGTTGCTTGTTTTTTGCTTTGGTTTCGGTAGAGACGGAACATCATATTTAGGGATTGATCATTGAACTGGACAGGCTCCAGTCAGGTAAAATTTTCTCATTAATTGAAACAAATATGTTAGCTGAGTGCAGGAGCGTATCCAGAACTTTTGAACTGTGTTTGTTTCGGTGACTGTTGCCAATAGCCTTTGATCGGGAGGATGGCGAGGCGAAGTATCAAATCGCATTTCATTTAGCGTATATCTACCTAAAAAAGCGCGTCCCCGATATATAACTAATCTATGGTTTTGTAGTTCAATTTGCGTTCATTTACGTAAAGAAGCGCGACCCCGATATTTAACAAATCTATGGTATCGCCGTTCAGTTTACGTATAATATCATAGGAAGGAGCGCGACCCCGGTATTTAGTTAATCTATGCCATGGTATCGCAGTTACATTTACATATAATTACATAAGAAGAAGCGCGAGCCCGATATTTAACTAATCTATGGTTTTATCGTTCAATTTGCGTTCATTTACGTAAACAAGCGCGACCCCGATATGTAACAAATCTATGGTATCGCCGTTCAGTTTACGTATAAAATCATAGGAAGGAGCGCGACCCCGATATTTAGGCCATGGTATCGCAGTTACATTTACATATAATAACATAAGAAGAAGCGCGAGCCCGATATTTAACAAATCTATGGTATCGCAGTTCAATTTGATAGTTGAACTATGTATGTCTGAAGAAGTCTGACCTTGGTCAGACGAAACAGAAATATACAGAATACAGAAATATATTTGTGTTAGAGTGCAGCAAGACTCTTGAATCACTTTCAATTTACATGTACTGTAAATACATAACAAGAAGCGCGACCCCGATATTTAACGAATATATGGTATCGCAGTTCAATTTACATGTAATTACATAACAAGGAGCGCGACCCCGATATTTAACGAATATATGGTATCGCAGTTCAATTTGCGTCTATATACGTAAACAAGCGCGACCCCGATATGTAACAAATCTATGGTATCGCCGTTCAGTAAACGTATAATATCATAAGAAGAAGCGCGACCACAATATTTATGTAATCTATGGGTGCTACTGAAGTATGCGAACCAAGATGGCGGACATCGAAACGTAGCATGGGTAACAGGTTAGGGTTAGGCCATAATTTTTTTTTTATATATTTATAATATTTATTTTTAATTTTATTTTATCTATGGTATCGCAGTTCAAGTTACACACCGTACTGTAAATACATAAGAAGAAGCGCGACCCCGGCATTCGCAGTTTAATTTACATGTAATTACATAACAAGAAGCGCGACCCCGATATTTAACTAATCCATGGTATATCATCAACATACTATGATGATATATATAAGTCTATGGTACATCATTAACCATATCGACTAAACACAGACATTCTTTTATTCATAAGTGCTCCACGCCCCTGACTTTCCGGGATTCTTTTCGAGGCTAGGATTGCAAATTTTCCACACATTCCGTCCGCAATGCTGTACAAGAAAGCTTTCAGTGGTTCCAAAAGGCATGGCAACCATGTGCAAACCCGGGAAGGCTTATATATTGCCTTCTTCCGAGAACCTAAAAGCTTGTTCAAATAATACTATCGACATGCGATGAGCGCGACCCCGAGTTGTAATACTTTATAGTACACTCTCGACAAAGTGTAAATTATATCGATCTTAAACAGACACATTAGTGAGGGCTTGTCTTTTGCCTTGTTCTGAGAACTTGAAAACGCTATTTAAATAATACTATCAACACACAAAAAAGCACGACCCCGAGTTGTAATACAATCATGGTACACTGTCGACAAAGTAGAATCATATCGATCCTACACAGACACACCAGTGAGATCTTGTCTATTTCCTTGTTCCGATAACTTAAAACGTGGTTCAAGTGGTACTATCAGCACGAGAAGAAGCGCGACCCCGATTTGTAATAAATTTATGGTACACTCTCGACGAAGTGTAAATATTATCGATATTACAAAGACACGTCACTGAAGGCTTGTCTTTTGCCTTGTTCGAGAATTTGAAAACGTTGTCCAGGTAATAATATCAACATGCGAATGAGCGTGACCCCGATTTGTAATACATTTTATGATACACTTTCGACAAAGTGTACTTTTATCGATCTAACAGACATTTATTTGCTCTCAAGTGCTTCAGGCGCCTGATTGTCCCCATGAATTGCCTTCGGATCCAATTTGTATGGATTTGTCGAGCATTTAATATTTAGTGTAGAATAATGAAAATTGTAAATAAGGGGTATGTCTATCTATCACCGTGCTTGATGATTTTGGAAACGCGAGAAGTCCTTGCTATTGTTGTAAACTGCTTGTCTGAGGAAGTCTAACTTTGGTCGGACGAAACGTTACAGAAGTACATTTGTGTTAGCGTGCAGCGGGACTCTTTAATTGGATGGACTACGTTGAAATTGTAGATTTAGATCACGAGCACAAGTAACTCTTCACGTATCAATGTCACTACAGGTCGCAGTTATTTAAATGAAAATCGTATATATACAGGGTGGTAAAAAAGTTACGCACAACCAAGGTAAATTTTTTCGTTATGGCAACGTTAAAAAATAACTGTTAAAGAGCGTCAGTCGGGGAATGTTTAAATGGCATTTCAAAGTAATTCAATACTGTTAAATAGTGTCAGTCGTTAAAAGTTTTGAGTAGCATTTCATCTTAACTTCTGTTCATTTTGCGTTACTGTTTCAACACCCTGTTTATAACAGTATACTGGCACCAAGTCAATGACAGGTTTGTTAGCAAGCAATGAAATAAACCCTCGCATATAAGGCAAGTTTGAAACTCATGGCTGCCAAACTAAGAGGTTAGCTTATACGAGAATAACTTTGATCGCACTCAAACGAAATGTCATTATGCTAATTTAAACCCAACAGCTACAACTTAAACCACGCTAAGTTCTCAAGAAAAGAGCGTGAACGCGCACACGTGAAGCAGCGATTGGTACGCTTATTAGCAAACTTTTATAAATTCACATGTTGGGGCCGTTTTTCGGGGGTCGGTTTATATACCAGTGTAAGTATGAGAGATTGGTAATGAGTTTAACTCGAAAGATGTCGATATTGCAGATAAAAATCACGGGTTCAAACCAGATGTTCATCACATTGTATAATATTGAGAAGGATAGTGGTTTTAACTGTGCGTCGCAAGATAATTTTGAGTGCGTCGACAAATATCAGCCTATTTCCTATGTCTTTATCTGCTCGTACTTCGGGCTTTTTTATCATGAAATGATAAAAATTGTTGAAATCGAAGCTCAGCATGGAGGTAACTAATTTTGTTCTGCTACTATACATCAAGTTGCGTAAAGGGACTGAAACCTATGGACAGAGGATAAATTCGTTTGGACAATACAGACAGTCCCCGAACTCGTAATAAAACTAAAATAGGAAAACTCGGAATAAAATTATGGCCTAACCCCTAACCTGGTACACACTACGTCCACGGAACTTCCCAAGAAATAGGCTCGTCTCGATCACATGTACATGTAAAACTTTTATTTAATGTAAAATTAATGTGATTGTTTAGTAGTTTACCTAATAAATTTAGTGTAATACAGTAAAAATATTCTTTTCAATCCCTCGTGATTTGAATAACAGTGAGTAAATGTGCCATGAACTCGAATTGACTTAGAACCTTATGGTCAGAAAATTTCAAAACGTAAAAAATTCGTTCTACTTGGAATTTGGCTTCTACGTGAAAGTGATCGCTTTTCAAAAGCTTTTTCCGTAAAAAGGGTTTAAAAATACCTAATTTGAACAACACAATTTAAATGTCAGAGCTGTAATTCCGAAACTCTGCAATCAATTTTTATTGGTCTATTTGCAACCCTGGATTGCAATAAAACAAAATTACAAACCCGCGTTTGTTGTGGGTGATGAATAATGGATGTAGATTAGATTGAAGTTAGGTAAAAAGGAACACTGTTCAAAAAATCGTTTATTTAGTTGCTTTTGTGTATTATATATGGTGTCGTCCGAAAAGTTCATATTACAATTTCAATTTTATTATGAAGTCAGTTCTCAATATATCTTAACCAGGTTTGTTGTTTTTTAATCAGTAATTGTTGAAGTATTTTTACCTCATTTAATACATCTGTGAGGGCCCTTTGCAATATTAGAAAATTTTTTAGAACTATATGGACACCCTCTCTTTGTAGCGCTATAACTGGTCTAACAATGAATTAGAGAACTGCACCTATATTGTAGTGTTGGCCTATAATAATCTTATTGCGTCATTAAGCGATTGGAAATATTTTACCAGTATCGTTTAGAAGCAATCTTCTGCGTATAACATTTAGTCATTTCTGGAAAAAAATTTTCAGGTATTTTATACAAAACCCCCGCCGCAAACGCAAAAATGTGAAATTTGAGAAAAAGACCTGTTCAGTTTTAAAATAATCAATTTAGTAATTATCCAGTTCGGGCTTTCCTAAGTTCCTGCCCAGTTCCTGCTTTCCTAACATTAACTTAAAGATATTAATTTTCTTATTTCTTTACGTTGGCGGGAATACTTTTGTTGGCGGGGCCTTGTCCGAAAGATCCCCATTCTTTTTGAATTTTGAAACAAATTGTTGAAATTGTGTCCCATGTGATCAAATTGTATAATCATAAAATTTCGATGTAATTTACGTGTATTGCTAACAGCATCGAAAAAGGGCGCGTAATCGAACAAAACAATAAACGAGAGCTTTGGGTTTGGTAGAAGATTAAGCGTCTAGTTATTGGGTTGTAGATCTAATAAAAATAGGAAGGGTAGTTTTTTTAGGTGTTTCTGAGCGTATTAATAGCTTCAGTGCGTCAGTGAGCGCTTGTAACTTATCTATTAATATTATTTCTACTATTATCTGGATGTAAAACCTTAATTCTATTTAGTTTTGGTATTCTTGGTATTTCAATGGTCGTTGGTCACTTTGCTCAGAGAGAATTTCCTATTTTTTTTGA